TTTAGTGGATTCAAATTTCTTCACACCATGTTCATATCCCAAATACATCGGATAATATCGAACAATCAATGCGTAGTTGTCACTAAAATGTTCACAGCTAAAAAACTGAGCTGAAGACGTCGTGAAATTTGATTTGCACATCTCGTATGTACCGGATTTGAAAATGAGATAAAATGGCTACATTGAAATTAACGTAATACTATTTCAAATAAAATGTGGACCGAAGGCAATTTCATTTGTTTATTTGGTAAGAATTTATGGATAGATGCGTGCTATTTGGGAACGGCTCATGAACATCTATCATAGTTTACGTTTTCAGTGAATCATACAGATCTAATGTAAGCGGAAGTGAGTGTTTGGGGGAGTTTTTGGAATCGTTAGAATTGACTGAACGGAACACCAAATACTTTAGTATTGCACTATGTTCGAATCGCTTCCAATAAGTTAGCATTTGGCAACTGTGAGCAAATAATGTTACTTAAAGTCCTTTTATGACGATTTCTTCGTTTGTGTACTCCCAAATCTGCATCAATCGCAGATGAAGCCAATTATGAAGACGAAATTGTGCAAAAAATCTTTTGCACGTATGAAATGTCAAGCTGGTCCACGAGCTGACGAAAAAAATCACCATAATTTCGCCAATTAATGCAGGCTGGCGAAGTTTGCGGTAATTACCCAAATGCCGAAATGAAAATTCCCGATTTCGAGGTGTTTTCAAAAATTTCATTCACTTGTTGAAGTGCATCCGATTGTTAGAAAGTGGATAAATCCGAGGTGGCCGAATTAGGGTAACTGATTTTAATAACTCGGTGCGTGGGCAGGGTTATGCTCCGCGACGATTCGGCACTCCACCGAGTCCATATCTCAGCGTTCGGCGTTGGATTCCTTGAATCAAATTTTGCATAAAATCATCGTAAACCAGTGTACAAAATGCGCACGACAAGTAAACTGAGGTATCCGTGAGCCGATTTTCACCGTATTGGCCAGTGTAACTGATATTATTACTGATGCAAATGTTTGAACCTTTTCATGAGCTGTACAGCTCACTTCATTCAAGGCTGATCACGCTATTAATTGTACAGTATTAATCATGAGCAATGAGTGGTTTTAGCGATCAAATTGCGCGTATAATCGGTAATCCTTGCATATTTATACAATATTAACCCATATCGCTGTCAACAACGTTAATGCCGAGTGTTTCACCACTGATAAAGCCCTGAATTGCACTGAAAGTGTTGATGTTCTTTGCTTCATCGCCCGTAAATCCCTCAATTCTATCTGCTCTGCAAACAAAGAGGTAATTTCAGCAAAAGCAATTCATGCGAAGAATATTGCTGCGATCAGATTACATCGTTATCGTGACAAATAGATTCTCACATATGACGTTCACTGTTATCCATTGTGAAGCTTGCAATCAGCTACGAATGATCCTTAATGTGTGCAACCTGAATGCTGTGATCTTTCCCATAGCAGAAGTATGTCATAACTGAGCAACCCTTTGTTGAGCAACAAGTAGATGTACTCCTTATAAGATAACGAATGTTACATGTTGATCTTGGCCGATCTAAGATATTAATCGCGGGTCATTTTCAAGAGATCGAACAACAACACTGTCTGTTCACACCCTTATTCGTTAATGACAATGATGTGATTGTCGATGTTATTATTATTATAAATGTGTCGAGAGTTATAACAGAGACACCGCCGCAATAATAAATGAGCTCTTATGATAGGAGTTTACGAAATGATGATTGTTTGCCTTTCGCGTCATTATTTTTCGTCTTCTTCCTTCGTCAACTCTCATTTTTGATGCACTCTGTATGGCCTAAACTTATGTCGCCATTTATGGGCGAACGGTGTTCTTGAGACAACATTCTAGCTCATAAACACCTACCATCATGACCGTCAAATTCATTGATACCTACCTATACACCAAATCGTGATCATTTCTCAAGAAGTTGAGCATTTTCTGGACTTCGTTCATTGCGTGATAAGTGAGAGAGCGGTAAACTGGTTGCTCACTTTTCATCTTTTTTCGTTGCCGCTCTTATCAGCGATATTTTATGCTGATGATGAATTTCAGTTGCTAATCTTATTCTTTTCTGCTTCAATGCATTCAGTCAGTTCATGGTTCTTCGATCATATTCATTGATATCATTTGTTTAGCAGGCTTAAAAAGGATCTGAAGTCTTTAAAAAAATTTTTGTTTACAATGGTGGTTCAATTGATTCTCGCGAGTGTCCTTTAAAATTCGAAATTGGAAGTAAATTATTCAGTATTTGAAACACTTATTATTATTGGCTGTATACATTTAGAATATTTTTCTTCTGTTTTCAATACTTACTAACTCGATACTTTTCAATATTTTCAATACTTCAATACTTACTCGTTAGCTAAATTAGCTAAACTAAACAACTAAACTGGAATACTTAGCTAAACAAGAATTAGCGAAATTAAAATCCAACTAAAATACTCTCCTCGTGAATAACTAATCTAACGAGCTGTTGACAATTCTGACATCGTCATGAAGGAAACGACATTCTCAGAGGATTGTAAAAGGATATTACCTTTTTGTAAGGAAACAATTTCTTCTATAACGCAGATTCTCTCGACATCCTTTCACTTGTCATACATAAATGCAGATTATCCGTATTTTCATGCTTCGACACCTATCTTCTGAAATGTTCATCTATATCTTATTACTTAGTTAAGACATTCCAGTTCCTTGTTGGCGTTGTTTTCTTCGCGACTAATTGGATTTGAGACTTTTATTAACGTTTGAATAAAGTCTATAGTCTCAATCAATGTAAATCCAATTTTCAGTTGTTTTTTTGGTTGCATTCAGTTCGAAATTAGGCTAGAAATCACCAACACTCTTGAGCAATCAAATAGAATACGTCACATATTTTTTTTCATCAGCAACTAATAAAAAGTGATGTAAAAAATAAGACTTCCTCTGATGACACACTCTTTTTCATTAATGCATTCTTTTCACCTGTTTTTTTTCGATTCTTCTGAAGTGAATGAACACTCCGGGATCGTCAAAACCCCAGTGTTTAATCGATCCAGCTTCGAATCGTTTGAATAATCAGGTTTTGAAACTGATTTGCGGATTGCTCAAGTTTCGACTTCTAAGTTGCTCCACTAGCAGTCGTCGAGTTCAGTTGAAAAACTTGTTTATGAGTTCAGTTGCTGGAACCAACGGTGTGATGTGCAGTGTGTTGACACCTGCAATGTAGAAACAAACACTTAAGGTTCAGTGGTCATATGCGGCAGTTGATATGTGAGTAACATACGTCATAAGTTATCATCAACGAAAAAACAATGCTAACGTTATCATCAACGAAACAAAAAACGATTTTGTTTGATAAAGTACTGTCATGATGCCGTCATAAAGTAAAGTACAAAGTATATACATAAAGTTACAAACTATATGAAGTTACAAAGTAAGTAACTTTTTACAAAGTATATACATAAAGTACCGTCACAAAGTACCACGTTGATACCGTCATGCGTATATTCCTAATTTGAGTATGTTTACCTGAATGTTCCTATTGCGTTCCAGATTAATGCTCAACTACTTCATTATATGTTAAAAACTAATTAACATCGTATTTGTTAACGTACACTTAATTCTTCCATTATGACGGAATCCACTACCGATCAAGGCGCATCATCACCACCAACAAACAAATGGTCAGCAAAAGCTCTGAAAACATCTCATTCGTTGTTGAACGCTATTGGGAAAGTAATTCGAATTCGAGAGGTTCGTTGCTCGATTTTCTTTTCGTTTCGTTTTTGACTTTTTACAGCTTTCCGATGAGTTGACTTTTTGCTGGCGAATTGCTCTTCATGTGGTGATCTATTGCTTCCGTGCGAAATGAAATTTGTTGGAATCGTTAGGAAAGAAATAAGTGACAACTAAAATCGCTCGCCAAAACGAGCATCGGACTGATTGAAACTGATTGCACGAAATAGTTGGTGGTGTTACGAGATTTTGAACATTAATAAGACGAAGCGTTGTGGAAAAGACATTGTATCTTATGGGCTCAATGCATTCAAGAAACGTTCATAACACACTGAACTAGTGTGGTGCGGAGAGCAGGGAATTGTCAGGGACGGGGATTCGGAGACTCGAACCCGGAGGTCCCCGAATTCCTGTCCCCGTCCCCGAATCCCCGCCCCGACAACTTTCGAGCCGACCGTATTTCTGTGGTCCCAGACTGCAAAATTTCGTTCCCGATTTTCATCGTCGTCAACTTCTTCGTATCCGCACCACACTACACTGAACCGTAGATAACTGGCATGAACTCGCAGAATGGCTTTCAGATGCGCTAAGCACTATTGCCTTTTTTTTGGATTAAATTGCCAATTCAGAATGCAAAGAATCGCTCGAAAAAGTTTTTCCCTTCAAAATTTACGGCCCCAAATCCCTGCTAATTTATGAATGCAAGTGTGAGCTGATGAGATGGTGCTAATTAGGGAATTTACAACCTTGCACGCTTCTTATCACTAGTAATGCCCTGAAATTGCTATCACAGCGTTTGATTAGATTTTATTGCACTGAAGAGGGTTGTTTCACTCGCCTACAAATTGATCTGATTTGTACTCTACTATAATGGTAAGTGCTGATTCGCACATATCGCTCCATTGTCACTTTCATTATGATTTCATTTTATGTTTACTGAATCGTTATGATTCAGTTAATGGTTAGCAAGATGGAATCGTCATGAATTAGCTTAATAAATCGACATAAATGAGTGCCTTAAAAAGTGTTTCAATTATCAGGACGTGTCGATTTTCTCACGTACAATTCAAGAATTCCCAGGAAGCCGCTCATTGTTCTAAGCATCTTTTGAATCGTGAACAATTAATTGAGTGCACGGGGTAACTCACGCATTTAATGGAATTACCCCATGTTATCCCATGCACGCATGGGGTAACTCCATTACTGTTAACGTTGAACAAATTTTAACATTCAAACGACGCCAGTTATCGATATGGCCTGCGCGCAAAGCAGTAGTAACTCATTCGATGAAAATCGGCAACAATTGATACTTTCAACATTCCCAAATAAAGTTTGCTCACGTTTGTTTCAGATCAATTTAATCATCTGTTCGGCGACAATATTCATTTGTATTTATGTCACTGCCGTATCAAGTTTGTTTTTAAGATATCACTTTATAATTTCTTCTAAATAAGAATTTTATCCATATTACTCAAAAATTTTCAAGCTTGAACAATGGTATTCTCCAGTCATTCCACTGCAATCCAAATTCCTGCCTGATAGCATAAACAGAATGTTTTGTTCATTTCAGTTCTGAAACGGCCCATAATATACCCACTGATTAATCTGAACGCAAATGTCACAATTATTGATACAGTCGATCATACACAGTCGGCGATTTCTGTCGTGTTGATATGGATTGCTGCACTTATTGCCGGACGTATCACCACATATTTACGACTTCCAAGTTTGCTTGGTACGTTTCTCTGAACACGACGACGATAACTAGAGAGACCTTAATTGAAGTTTCTTGATATAGCGTTTGAATGGAACACATTTGTGATGGTTTGTTAAGAGTTACGAATGAATTTCAGGTGTTCTTCTATGTGGTGTTGCGCTGCGAAATATTCCCTTCACCGCCCAATATTTATTCATCGATGGAGGCGTAAATAACTTCTTAAGGAAATCAGCATTCGCTGTTATTCTCATACGAGGTGGCATAGGACTGGATTGGGTCGCGCTCAAAAAGACTAAGGTTCGTCATTTCTTCAAGCTTAATGAACACTGAAATTATCGTTTCACCATAGAAGCTTGAAATACTTCTCACTTCATAGAACGCAATCGTCATGTTATATGCGGACAACTTCTTTCAAGAGACTGAACAAAGTTTTGCTACGCCTCATGTGTTTATTATTTGATTTCTCACCTGATCCCAAATTGTTAATTCGCAATCAGCCTAGCACCTTCTCATGGGTTTGAATCAGAATCTTGTACCGTGATTAAGCCATTCTCTTGCACCACCTACTCTGTGTACTGATTTCCTCTATTATCCTAAAGTAGCAGCAACTTCCTTATAACTTCCAACCACCTCAAATCGGATTTCGATAATCCACACGCTGATTGATTTCTGCTCATTCCGTGCTCCACACTAACAATAAGGCGAATTTCATTTTAGGGTGTAATTTTTCGATTCGGTGTTCTGTCGTCGGTGTTTGAAGCGTTGGTGATCGCACTGGTCGCATATCCCATATTCGGAATGTCCCCCATAATGTGCATCGTATTTGGGTTAGTTTTTGACTTTTTTCGTAACACTTTTTGATGTAATCACTTTGTCGTACTTCAAAAGTGCAGCTTTCGTCAGTTGAAAATAACAACAAAGAAAAACCAAACAAAACACTAACAGTTCCGTCAATTGCCACCAACCCTTATGCTCAGCTTCACTTTCGTGTTGATCTACTTCCTATGAAGACATTCATAGGAAGCATTAATCTTCATCGATGCATTAATTATCCGTTCAAATCGCTACATACTACACATATTTCTCAAATGCATTCACAAAATGTTTGAATCCTTTTTGCTGCGGCAATACGCACATAGTTTATGAGATTGCTCTCTTCATTTTTCAGTTTTCCTTAGAATTGGTCATAATCTTCACCCCTATCTTCAATTCTTTATCCCATCAGTTGCTGAGATTTCTGAGAAATTTGCTAGTGGCGTAAATATTGCATAAAGAATAATCCACAATCTTACTCCTATTCAACAACTCTATTCAAACTCTCACTCGTTAGCAATTCAGCAAGCAGCTAAACTGTCAAGCGTTCATCAATTCGTTCCAAAAATTTCCTTCCATGTTTAATTTTATTTCCAAAAAGAACTTATCTTTACCTCATTGAGAATTTGCTATGAAGGGTTGGTAAATTTCAATTACAGTATGACACTAGCGGCCACATCCCCGGCCGTTACTATACCAACAATGTTGGGATTGAGCAAGAAGGGCTACGGTAACGATTCGGGCGTTCCTACAGCTATTTTAGCAGCAGCTTCGATCGATAACATGATTTGCATAACGTTGTTCAACGTCTTTTTGTCGCTCATAACTGAAAACGGTTAGTTTTTGACTTTACTCTGGAATCCGCATTGTTTCTTTCCTAATCCATGTAATAATTGAATTCAGATTACATATCCAACGTGAAAGCGCTAGAAACAGTTGTTGAGGTCATTGTTGCTTTAATAATGAAGATTTCAGATTCGATAAACGTAAACATGACGTTTTCAGATTCGACTTCTCTAAAGATCGGTCTGCTTGTAGTTCAAATTATTGTCGGTATTATTGTTGGTTTCGGTGTGGGTATGTTCAGAAATTCGCTCAATTCCTTTATTAAGAACGATAATGTGAATTTTTTATCTTCACAATTGTCACACTAAAAATGCAATGAAAGGTTTTGACATGCGCTGAAGAGATGAAATCATCAATGTCATGTTTCCCTACAAAATCATTGCCGATAGTATTACATCTCATCAAAAAAATTTTTTTTGTTTTATTGCTCATTAATGATGCCCATTAGAAATCATTCGTAATTTCGCTTTTTCTGTCCAGGTTTCCTCTTGTGGGTATTCCCTCGAAGAAAATCACGGCAAGTGCACTTCACACGTGTGGCGCTGCTGTTTTGGTTGTGTATGATGTTCATCTTTGGTACACAAGCGATTAGCTGGGACAGTGGCGGTGTTATTGCGACCATTTTGGCCAGTTTCATTTGCTCGGTCCGTTGGAAAGCGGATAATCCACAAAAAGTAAGCTCTAACCTGACTTTCTCCTTTTATAAAGTTCTGATCGAGTCAGGACGGTTTCAGATAGATCAATTTCCAGCTAAGCCTTTGCACAATTTCAGGATGACAAAGAATCTGAAGCGTTTGCACTGATGTGGAATCTGGTCGGAATGCAAGTTATGTTCGCCACAATCGGTTTTGAATTTCAATTTAGTGAGGTAAATTCTAAAACTACTGAATCGACTTAAATAATGACGCATAAGGAGTGATATGATTTGATGCTCCGATGTAATTTTTTGCTTAGCGAAATTATTGGCTTGTTTTTTCATTGCTCGTTAAAGTCACTGATAAAATTCACCATGACATCATGATAAAACTGATCAAATGATCATTTGATGAAGGTGACGTGAAGGAAGAATTTTATCAGTGACTTGCAAAGTCAGTTCATTGACAGCTTGCTATTGGAATACTTCTGTGGGAGAATGACAGTATTGCAACAAAACTGCGGTGATCATGTTCATCTCTGGTTAGCCACATCAAGAAATTAACGAACGAGCGATAATCAAAGTGCTTGAAACAGTTTCACAATTAAAAGAGTGGCCCCGCAGCACTTTACGGTAATCGAATTACTCCAATAATTTCAGCTGCAAGTCGATATCATTCTGAAAGGTTTTGCTGTTTTGTTGATTGCTGTTATAGCCAGAATAATATTCGTATTTCTGATGTCGTTTCGAGCTGATTTCAACATACGTGAACAATTCTTCCTTAGTCTTTGCTTTGTACCCAAAGCGACTGTTCAGGTGACTGCTTTCATTATATGACGCTATCATATTAAATGATTATGTTGCTCAAACATTTCACCATGTCCAATTTTTCATTGAAGCAACGGCATCAAAATTAGTTACTCAACAAATCACTTTGAAAAAAAGAGTCCCGAAAATGTGTGTGTAAATGAGAGTAATCAATCAAGCCATTACAAAACCGATTGCAGGCTGCCCTAGTACCTCAAGTTGTTTTCGCATGTGCCGGAACACCATATGAGTATCCAGCGATGATCATTATGACGGCGAGTGTTTTCGCCATTATCATCACTGCTCCTGCCGGTATGTTCAAGCTCTATCAGTTATTTGACTGGAACAGTCAATCGAACCGGCATCCGATCATATAATAGCAACCTGAACTATTTTGAAGACCCTAGGTTGAATACCTGTAAAGATAATGAATCTTGCAATAGATCGATTCAGTATTTGTGATAATTCTCTCGTTGATTTGACATAAGGTAGAAATAAGATGTATCGACATCAGACAAACCAAACACTCATTTAAGCCAGTCTCTGTTTAAGGTCAATTCATCCTTCAATTGTTGGGTCCACGCACATTGGGTTCGACGCGGAATGTTGGCAGTATTGCGACTGTAGAACCAATCGAGCTGGGTACAAAACGTGAGGTTGTTGATGATCATGTATGAGTAGTAAACGTCCAGTAATACTGAAAATAACCTTCATTAATACATGTCTGATCTTATCCTTCATTCATCATTGGATAATGGTGTTCATTGAATTAATCATCATTATCATCATATTCGTCTCTTACCAATTGACACTTCATTCGCTATGTACCACTCACATTCCTCAACATAATCTATGAGTGTCTCATGTACAGTAGTGTGGCTAAAATGCCATTGCAATGGCATCGTATTACAATTTTTGATCAGTGCTTTCTGATGTCTTAAAGTAATTCATGTTTGCAAGAATGACATTTCTTCCACAAAAAATTGTACTGTCAAAAAGGAATTGGGTACTGGAGGTAAGTAAAGAGCAAAAAAAA